TTTCTGTGCTGTCTGAAATGCTGTGCATTTTGAATAACCCACACATAGAAGCAGCAGGCAGTGTAATGCAAGCATGGAGCACGCGCAATCTACTGCATGAGGATCAGCTTAGCATGTTGGATCAGTGACACTTCGCAGCATAATACAAAACACTTATTCTTTTTCACAGCTGTTCTCCCAAGCATTTTAAGCATACGTTTGCCCTCAGCATGCAGGAGATTTACGTATTTCACTTCCATTGACATGGTAGAAGAGACCCTCCTCACTTGCAGATTTGTTCTTTTAATAGGCATCCAGCACAAATGGGAATTAAGTGCATGTGTGTGTCCAACAGAGAGTAGACCAGAACCAGCTGTAGGCACAAATAACTGCTTAGGAGGCCCATTTTTTTGTGCTGATTTGGTAAGTCACAGGACAGCCAAATCTTCCTTTTTAGGAATGGGAAGAACAGGAAAAATAGAGGACCTCATTTTCAGATTGTATCACCCATGGAAGAGGAGAGTCAGCAGGGAGAGAACTCTCTACATGAGATTCTCCTCTCCCTGCTGGAGCAGCTGGAGCAAATCAGGTTCATCGTGGGCAAATGTGAGCTCATTTTGCCTGTACTCCAAGCTGGCAGAGAAGTCAGGGTGTTTCGGGCTCTGAGTCAATGCTGTGATAACTTGCTCGCGTGACTTACTAATTGAAGTTAGAGATCCTTCAAGATACTGAACATCTGTGGCATAGACAGGCTTCTCTCAGTCTTGGTTGTCTTATACTTCCAAACCTTTTCAAATCATAAGTGTAAGTCAAATGTATTGCAAATGGTAGAAGGACAATGTGGATTTTGGGAGAGACAGGTGAGGCTCTGTACGCATTCTCGCTATCAGGAGATGCAGAGGTGAGTCATCTGTGATGTATGATGACAACACAAGCACAAGGAACACAGTCCTCAGCAAAGTCCTTTTTGAATTAGCCACACAAAAAGTTGAATCTTAAAGACAGAAGAAAATGGTATTGGGAAGAAAGAAGTGGCAATGACTGAAGTCCTTAATTTGACGCCAATGATATCCCAGAGTAAGCAATTTCCCAGAGGATTGTCAAAGATGTGAAATGAATTCTAAGAGCTGCTTTACAGGCATTTGTGGGCACACACACCTGCTTACAGCAAGGGAAAAGACAGTGCGTAAATGTCTGGAATATTACATAAAAGCTGTCTGGTCGACTAGGCAGAGCAATTAAAATCCATCTCGCTTAAACGAACCCTGAGTGCAGGTCAAACAAATCTAATTTTTATTGTTCCTTAAGGAGATGTCTGTATAGGAGACAAAAGGGGGATGCAGCCGTCAGGTTAAAAAATCAAGATGCCTTTAAAAAATTAAATGTTCACAATAGTGCTACAGCATGCTAGATAAATGATATATTACAGCGATGGTTTAAAACTAATTGATGACTAATGTTGTAATGCATTTGTAGCTACACTGATCTATTATATATCTTGGCCAAGCTGAAGGGACACTTCAAGGAGAAAAATTGCTAACTGTTTTAACCTGATGGAACTTGGGGAAAAAATAGTTACTTTAAGAGATAAATGGAAAGGTTGTGACCTCCTAATGTACATCTGGGTCTTGCAATGCAAAATCAAATTATCATTAAACAGAATGTGATCTGTGATGGAATTAAAACAACCACAAGCCAGCACAGAAATTTCTGTAGAGAAATACAATAGTGCAGTTTGAGCTGCGACCATTAGCTAAAAAGCTGCCTGGCTAAAGAACTGGTGTAACAAGTTGGTATGGAATTGTTTTGCTCTAAAATGAAAGTTCGTTTAATTGGAGACTGCAGGAAAAATGTAAGCATATTTACAGCAATTTACATATGTAAGGCATTTCATAAACATTACTTAATTAGTGTATAAATAATTCACAATTTACCCTAAGTTCTGTGTAGCATGTGCTCTCTGGCTCTTGGAGGGGAGGCAGGAAGCCTCATTTTCCCCTCCTCATTTTTGTCATGCCTGAGGCTCGTGCCCGCTGGTTTTACCCTTACAGTTGGAATTCGGAGATGTCAGTCAGGCTCTGCTTATTTTCACATCTAATTCATGCAAAACCCAGGTTTCCTCCTGAGGCGGTAAACTGGCCCAGATTTGCTTCAAAGTTTGGCCTAGGTTCAACGAATGACTCACTTTAACTCAGGTACATCCATCTTCCTGGCTGAAACACAATACAGGAAGTGTTGTCAAAGAGCAGATACCCCCATAGAACTAGAGCGTACAGATTCAGGACCTTAGAAACCAAAAGCTGTAGTTTGTTTCATCCCCTGGTTTCCTGATACCCAATATTAAGGACATTGAGTGGGTGTAATAAGAACATCCTTACTCAACGCAAAGAATCAGTGTGGGTTTTTGCATGCTAAACAAGCTGCAAATGGCTGGGATGTATTGCTGGAAACTGTGCTGGTAGGAGTTGCAGTCAGTAAGCCTCCATGGTCATAGGCCCTGTGCAAAGTTCTGTGGAATAAATACAATAACAGGTTACAAATGGAGATAACATTATGGGCCACTGCTAAAATATGGATGACCTTGAAAAGGCTGTGATTAAAAGGCCAAAAATACCGCTGCGATCCTTAGCCTTACCCTCAACCTCTGAATTGATTCCCTTAAATGGGAGTATGGTACGAGACCAGTCTCACAACACTCACCACAAGCAACACTGATTTTCTTCTGGTTAGGAATAATTTAATGTAGCAAGAACATGGCCAGCCTGTTATATTGTCTGAAAGCGATGTATTCCTCTATGATAAATTAACCTTAAAAATTAGTACATTTGAAGCACGGTACTAGCCAATCAGATTGCCTGTAATAGGTGGTCAAAAAGGACGAGGTTCTATCCTGAAAACTTGCTTCATTCAGTAAAAGCTTCTCCCTCCTCCTAATTCTTCAGAGAGTACCTTAAGATTTTTTTGTGGAAAAATTTGAGTTACAGCAGCAGAATATACAAATGAAGGAGTGGGCAGAGTTAGAGCATCATTCCCTTTGAAGGCAGCAAAAGAGAGCATGTAGAGAGGTGGTAGAGCCTCTTGGCCTCCCTCCCCAAACCCTGTCACCAGCTCAGGGGGGTCTGTACAGGCCCCTGTGCTCTCAACAGCCACACGCAGCTCTAGTAGGGAGTGTGTCCATCATGGTGGAGTTGTGCCCTGGGCATGTTTCTCAGCCGCTGACCCTCGGTAGCTGGGATTCCATTGAGGGAAATGTTTGCAGGCCATGGGATAATTATCTGCCCTCCCAATTTTCCAGTCCTGTATCTCCCAAGATGATGACTTTTCATGTACGTCATGATGATGGGGACAAGGTGTCAATTAAAACAGCCCATGATATTTCCATGATTACAACATACTGTAGGTAAGGAAACTGTTCTCATGTTTGGATCACGCTCATAAACAACGATCCTGGCAGTTCTCTGAGAGGGTGAAGTTACGTACCCAATCTCATACTCCTCCTACTTTGGACAAAATCAGACATAAAATAGCCTAAAATAAGAGTGCAGTTACCATTTATTCCCTTCCTCAATTTTTTACCTTGCTTTATATTTCCTAGCTATGGCTGACAGAAATGGCAAAAACATACAGTATTTCTGATTTTGTTGTGTTTTGCTTTTTATTTCACTTTCAGTTTTTCAGACTGGTCAATGATTCAAAAAGTTGATGAGAACTCTGATGGTTTTATCATTGCTTCAGACAAACTGTAAAATGCAAAAGTTAGCAACCAGAATGTGATTTTAAATAATGCTTAAAGCAGTTTTCTTCTGCTGCTTGTGCTTAACACTGGAAGGAACGCAGAATCGCAGCTGTCTTCTGTGCCAAAAGATTTTTTAACTTTTGTACACAGGTTACCATATATGTTTTCATTTACTGATAACGTTTGCTCCATTTGATTTATAGTAAGGCTTTGTGATTGTCAGGTTAGTGTAAGAATGCAAGTAGTAAATTTAAAATGTACCTTTGCTGGTTCTATTATGTTTACCATCTTTTTCCAGGTTTTTTCTAATATTATGCCAATAGTCTAAAGGAGTTTTTGATGTGATGTACTGAATATTCTGACCCTAAGAGTGCTCAACATTGGGTACACCATTTACCAGTTCACTGCTGTCAAAAGCTATTGCATCCTTCTTCCCTCTTGACCCAACCTTGATTAATCTTTCCAGAGTTTTTGTTCTGATACTGTTTTGAAATAGCGATGATTTTCCCAGGAAGCATAAGTAAGAACCTAGGCATCTGCTCCATGCTGTTTGGGCAGCTCAGACGACTGCAGAGGGAAGGGAATAATCCCCCCCAGATCTCTGACAGCATCACATTTCCACTGTTTGCAACCCGCCCTCCATCACGGTGCCCGGTACTTGTAGCACTAGCAGGAAGAGCTGGGGAGACTTGTGTTTTCTGGCCCCTGACCTATGAAGCCGCATGATTTCAGGAAAGACCAAGCTAGGTCCAGGAGGAGGGAAGAGTTACAGCTCTTTTTCTCTGATTCTGCACAGAAGTCAGAAGTTTTCAGCATCAGTGTGTATATTCTGATTTCCATCTGTCATGCAAAGCATAAATCCAAAGCACTGTGTGAGATCAATCATGCCCAAAATATTTAAAGTTACCTAAAATGCTGGAGAATTAACATATTTCTTAAATTTTTCTCCAGAGTCCTGAGTGGTGCAGACATTCTGTTGATCATATATTACAAGCTCAGGCAATACATTAAGTTTGGAAAATAGGTTTATATAAAAAAAAGGAGCAGAATTAACTGGATCCATAAATGTCTTTCTACTCACAGCTGTCTAGAATTATTTCATTACAAGTCTTTGGTTTTATCCTGTTTTGCTGTGACCACCTACTGGCAATGTATTTGTAAGGAAAGAAAAAAAAAGCAAGAAATTCTAACGTGTAAGACGTACAAAATAAATCTTGTGACATTTTCTAACGTGAATATTCCTAAATGCCAGACTAAAACATCCCTCCGACGGTTTCTTTTACAGACTTTCCTTGTTCCAGAAACCTGGCCTGAGTTAGAAGGAAACCCTGTAACTGTCCCTTAAAAGTTGAATTGCATCAGTGTGGGTAAGATGTTGGGCAAAATTCTTCAGTGGTGTAATTCCATGAAAATCAGAAATACTACACCAGGGCTGAATCTGCCCCGTGGTACAAAATTATCTCCCTAGAGGCAAGACTTTTGGAAACAGTATCATATTTTAATTGTAAGCAGACAATTTGTTTTGGGTTGTATACAGAGCATGAAAATCTAACTGCTATAGGAACTAGCTACATATATGGTGATTTTATTCCTGTTTCTAGTGCTGTTTGGTTTATTTGTGCATGATTTGCAGGTGGCTAAATGATCCCACAAACTTCTTTTTATGTACTTGAATGAACCCCTGTTGAACTTAAGATTTTAGAAGATTACAGTGCTGGCTTTAGAACTCCATTTGTACATTTTGCAATGAGTTTAGGAGAAAGACTGCATGTTGCTTATAAACTGGGAAGTCCAGATTCCAGTTTACAATCTTACCCTTTGAGAACAGACGAGTATATTTTTTACAAATTAACAGATGCTGATGGTACTTTGCCTCCCCTGACTGTGTTCACTAGTTTCTGAATTCAAAGGGCAAAACAGGATCTGTCTTTTGTAGAAAGTCCCTGTCATGGCAAGAGGACATGCCAATTGAAGCCCATTTGAGCCTTCTTCAACCCTTCTCCATGCTGACTGGATTTTGGCGTCACTGTATGATGCATCACCACTGTAACAAACTGCTTCACGTAAGCTAGTCATATTCTATGGAAAAAGTCTTGAAAGAATGGTGCAGAAAAATATTTAACCTCTGTTAGTTATTTTTCATGAGATGTAAGGTATTGTGAAATTCAAGGAGCTTGACAGATTTTCACGGCTTGGCTTGTGAAACTCATTTCCAGCTCAACAGACTGTGATTTCACGATTTTGCACATCTGGATTTTGGCACAGGGTTATGCTGAAAGATGACTCTGGCAAATCTGCCTCCCAGACAGAGCAGGGCCAGTGTGTCTGCTCCTGGTTGGCGAGGAGTCCAGTCCTGCCTGTGAGTTGTAACCTGCCTGCCCTCACCTATGTAGTTTCTGTTCCACAAGGCAGAGGCTGCACAGCTGTAGTTGGCCCTGACATCAGTGATCCCAGGAACTACTTGAATATAAATGTTAATGATAAAGTCATCTTTCTAATATTTAAGGAGTATAAAGAGATACGCAAAAGTTGCAGGGGTATCTGTACTGCGTGTTAACAGACTGAATCTGTTCTGGGGAGCAAACAGAACATTTTCACGTGCTGGCAACACGGATGGGTGCAGCAACAATGTGTGCAAAGACTACTGAGCACCCCCTCTGGTATGCTGCAGCAGTGGGCTGCTTTTCTTGGCCAAGTATTTGGGGCGGGGGGGGTGCTCTTCTCCTTAACCTAATCTGTGGAGATCTGGCAGTCTTCCCGGAGGGGAACCAGTTGACAAAAACATGACTTTAAGCCAGAATTTTTTTCAGCATTCACACCACAGAAGGAGAGTTTGCAAAGGTGGCGGGAGTCATGCGCGTCTTCCCTCTTTGAATGGCTGTATGGCAACAAAGTCATCCTATTTTCCCACCAGGATCACACGGTGCCACAGAGCTTCACTTATTCTTATGGCATTGGCAGTGCGGTTTTGAAAGAAAAATCCCCATGCTGTCTGGAATGCTCAACTGTTGGGTACCAGAGTCAGAAAACATCCTGCCTGCCGTGAATGTTAGGAAAACAGAGCAGCCCTGACTCAAGTGCCAAGTGGTTTTTTGGAAGGCTAACTCCCCTGAGAATAAAGGATATTGGTATCCAGCCAAGAGGGCAGGCAGGAACAGGCCCTGGGCAAGACACTGGAATTTTGGTGGAGCCTGAAATATTGTGTGCTTGTTTGTATCCGCTTCTGACTTTTGAATTAAAAGGTGAGCTACCCAAAATGTAAGAAATGGGTCACAAATTGATAAAATCTGAATTATTTTTCTAGCTATATTTAGGGCTGTGCAAGACAGGGATTCCCCTTTTTGGCTGCAGTAGTATCTAACAGTAACTTAATATCTCCGTTAAAAATAGAAAAAGTCCCCCAAAGGAAATTTCCTTTTTTTCCTATTGTACACTCAAAAATCCCTTCTTGTTGTTGCATAGTGTTCAGTTGTTTTTTACTTCCCTATTTCCCTGTTTGAATGAATAGTCCTAGTCCAATGACTCAGTAAGCGTTTCATCCAGAGTATTCCCCAGCTTTATTTCCTATACCAGTGTTAACACTGCTTCTTAAAAATGAGATTGAAACCCCCCCTCAGGTGCTTGTATTAACTGACTAAGCAAGCACAAGTTACACGACCCTTTAAAAATCTTTTCTTCCCTTCAGTTATTATGCTAATGAATACCTAAGTAAGCAGAATTTCTCAAAGATCCATTTCTGCTTCTGTAAGTAAAACAATTTGCTTATCTGCGTGTTTTGTTTTGGTACACGGATTGGTTTGAGATGAGGTTTTCTGCATAGATATTCTTGAAAACGCCACACATAAGTGGGAAAATTGCAAAGGAGGAGATTGTATATATAGATAGATTTTATATTATTCATTTCCTCTTCATCTTAACTTTAGAAAGCCTTGAGAGATAATAGATTAGATCCCTTTGTGGCTTTATTTCTAGTGTTGCAAAGCAGCTCAGTAGCCAGCATGGCTAGTCTCTAAGCTTCCACCTCCTCTCAACAAACTTAGGTAATGTGAAGTTGTCTTAGTGATGTTACTTATGCCATCCTTGGCCTCACTGAAGGATACTGGATGAGAGTATATCCCGAAAATTCCTCTTTTATCTGGGCTGCAGTTTGGCACTGAACCTGCGCAAGAACTTTTTTTTTTTTTTTTTTTTCTTCCCCTGTGGTGGTAGTTTCAGTTATCAACATGTGCCGCCGCTTTCTGATTTGGGGCAGCCCAAAAGGAAGTCCCAAAGCCGTTTCTGTTCAGCCTTTGGGTTTGAAGTGCACCCAGCTGGACTGAAAGATATTGTATTTGAGAATCCTGTATCACCGGATTCAGAAACACCAACAATTTTTTCCACTTACTTATTTTTGCAAAATGCCCTGTTGACTGCAAAGCTAGGCCCAGTATTTGCATTTCCAGCACGGCTGTGGTGGGCGATTCAGCAAGACATTCTGCATATAACTTCTTGCTGGAGTATGTCACTTGTGTATGTGTGTGCTCCTGAAATGTCGGTTCACACTAACATTCAACAGCAGGCTGGGACGCTGGGCCAGAGCTTGCATCCAGGGAGGCCAAGCGGCATTTTTGTGTTGATCACAATGGAGTGGGACTGGATCTTTATTTCCTTGACACGGCTAGAAAATGTTCATTCTGTCTCTTTCCCCTACACACGCATATTTTCTCTTCTTTATAGAATAAGTCATTTGTCTTTATCTCACCATTCACCTCTCTCTTTGATTGCAGTTAATGGAATTGTCACCTTTATGTACTCATGTTCCATTTCTCAACCTGTCTGGACTTTGGCCTCTAAAGGTTACCACTGCTAGTGAAGTAATATGATTAAGTGAGTCTTTTTAGACAGATTTATGCAAGATTTCTTCTCCAGCAAGTGTCACATCTAGTCTAGTTCTGCAAAAGAGAATATTTCAAAGATGCCAACTGTCATCTAAACCCACTAAATTGTGCTGCAGTGCTGGTTGAGAGGACTGCAGGCCATCGCAGAGCAATGCTGATTTACGCTGCTCGAAGCTGTATCCCTACAGCTTGAAATACGGGCTTTTGTTAATAATGAAAAAAAGAATGTTCCTGTCTCACAGAAAGTACATTTAAAATGGAATTTTCATTAGTTACTCTGTAATGAAAAGGCAAAAGGGTATACTTTAAATTAATCTGTCCAGAATCTTGGAAAAAGAGGGAGGTTATTTGAAGCAGTAATAGCTGAAGCAAAACTACAATGGCCACACTCTAAACAGAAAAAAGCAGTCTTGTGTCCCATTTACGTCTACAAGATATTTTCAAGTTTAGAGAAAGATTTTTAAATTACAGAGGGTTCACTGCACACATATCTATTCTTCCTGCATTTGATACGAAACACAAATTAATCATCATTATTCTGCACTAGCATAACACCTCTTAACCCTCAGCTTTCAGAATATTTCAAAGGAGTAATGAATTAGGCCTCATATGGTCTTGGTATGGAAGTGATAATCTAAACTTTGATTCTTTAATTTAAAAAAAAAAAGCATTTTCAGGACTTTGATTTTGGAGGCTGGAGATCTTGTAACTTTTCTTGAAAATCTATTCATTTGTCACCCCCTTGGAAAGAAATCATATGAGTGCTAGAGAAGTGTAATGAAATGGGAAAATGTATTAAGGAAAAGTTAATATATTTGTCTGTACTTTCAGACAGATAACCTTTTTCTTCTCTTTACTGGAGGAAAAAGACCTGGATAAATCAAGGTCCTAATGTGATACAGGTGTAAAAAAGGCAAAATTGATCTCTGTCTGTAACTAAAAGGGTGCACAGGGAATTACTATTGCCACTGTACAAGTCCCTAGCAAGACATCGTTTTGAACATTATGCTACGGTCACTCATGTTCAGAAAAGGTGAATTCTGACTGAAACAAATGCAGAGAAAGCTTATTAGATAAATCAAAACTTTCTGTTTTGAAAATCTAAATGGTTAATGTTTAACTTAACAGAATAGAAGTTAAGAAGGGATTTAAATGGTGTCTACAAATACACTGTGGGAGGAGAACAAGTATTATTTCTATTAAAAGAAAGTGTCAGTAATCTATGAGTACATGGAGGACAGAAATAATGAAATTTGTTTTTAATGAACAGAGGAATAGGATTCTGGAACAAAACAGCGAAGGAGGGAGATAGTTGGGAGGGTGAAGAGCAAGAACTATAAACCAGAACTCAGCATGAGTATGGAAAGGTTTATAGGATTTGATTGTGAGATAGTAGAAGCACACTCGGGTCCATTTCTCTGGGCTTCGTTTTACTGCTTTTCAGCTGAACAAAGTATTTTGGTATATCCACAGTCACAGTACTTTGTTTT